CACGATTTTGTTGACTTAAATTGAAGAAAGATATAAATGATGAATAGGATGCATGGATAGAAGAGCTCGGTTGGTGATGTGACCAGTCAATAAATTCCGGGATATTGAAGTCACCTAAGATGAGCAGGTCGGAATCATATAGTTCGTGCATTGACATAAGCGAGTCGAATAAGATGGAGTAACTGTTGGTAGGACACGATGGCGGAATATATAAAACACATATATATGTGCAACGACAGTTATTAAATATCTTTACCAGTAATACATCGATAGTCGGAACTTTATGGATATCATTACAAATAATATAGACATCTAAATTAATTGCTTTAATATTATGTCGTATTCCCAATAATACCCCACCTCCTCTCCTGTAGTTTAAAACAGTAAATTTACGATCGGATCTAAATATCTGGTAAGAATTTAAATCAATGATTTCACCATCTTTTACACTATCGTGTAACCACGTTTCAGTCAGTACGATGATATCGTAAGGTACCTGAGTTGTTGCATGAAATAAGTCTTTTAATTTTGTATTAACACCTCCTACATTCTGGTAGTAACAAATAAGATTAGAATTATAGATATAAGGTTGCGGGAGTTGCAGTCCAGGTGACGTATTTAAGACCATCGAGGAAGTAGGAGGTATTGGTGTTTGAGGAGAAGCAGTTGAAGAGACTGGTTGCTACAAGTCGCTTAAGCCGAAAACTTCTGATTTTAATTTCCGAATTAAATTTTTGTAAAAACAACAATTCTCGTAGTCCCAGCTAGCATGAGAGATCTGTTCTGTATTTAAGTTATCCCTAGCCTGAATACTAGAGCAGTTGATGCATTTCCATTGATCATTTTGAACTTTACACTCTTTTAACTCATGTTCTTTAGAGCATTTTGGACAAGAAAGAGTTTTCTTACAAGTTTTTACAGAGTGATTAAAACCATTGCACTTGTAACAACGCAAAACATCTACAGCATCGTAAATATTGCAGCCGTCCAAACCAATTAGACAGTGGCCTAGGTTCAGTGCTTTTTTATATGAGGAAATGTCAACTTGCAGTATTATTTGATGTAGGTTTCGTCGTCTTTTTATAGGCAAATATTTTAAGAGAGTACACTGCGAATTATCTGAAAATATATGTTTATTTTGTTTCAATAGGTAAGGTACTATCATTTCTTCACTTATATCCTCTGATATACCTGAAATACGAATTCTTGGTAAGGGTGTCTTGACATCACGAATGTCATAATTTTCGTTTAAATTGTTATCATGTGCAAGTTTTTTAAATTCACCAGGGTTTTGGCATTTTAAAAATACGCCACCATTTTTTATGGGTTTGACTTTCGCAATTCCGATTTCATCAGAAATTCCAGGGCTGATTGATGTTAGAATGTCAGATTTAGTTTGAGCAATACTTTGAGCTCCATTTTTTGGTTTGACTACAATGGCAGACGCGTTTTTGAGGGTAACAGCATACGATGCAACTGATTCTGTGGGAATTTGTAATTCACGATTATGATAGTGTTGATTCATCATTTTAATTTCTTCGCGTAATAGTGTGTTTTCTTGTTTTAAATCCTCGATTTGCTGACTGAAGAAAGTAAAGTTTTTATTAACTGTGCGTGTAAAATCAACAAAAATATCTCTTAGACAATCTGGAAGCTTCCCTATTGCAGCACTAAAAAGTGACGTGGATGGTACAGAAGTTAGAATATTTTCCGTGTTTGTTACAGAGGTCGAAGTTGAACTGCAGTAATCACAACTCCAAGATTTTATTAAGCCTGTCTCTTTCATAGAAATAACATCATTTTTGTTTAAGTTGGCACAAGACAGGTGGTAATTAGCGCTACATCCCTTACGACATGCTATATAATCGTCATTTCTATTTATATACTTGTTGCACATTTTACATTTAACCGCCATTGCAAGGTATAATTCCCCCAAAAGGGGGAATTCGCAAAAACTGTACCAGAAAATACGTTTATAAGAACTTTATAAGAAAATGGTGTATTCAATAAACGATCTTAAGTACTAGGGTATACGAGCCACATTCAAAAGAGGCCCATACCGAAACACCCTTTTGGAACGAACTCACCACCACAGGAATGCAGAAATTAGACCAGGGATGACACCTAATAGTTAAAAATTTAAGTGAACAAATAACCTCAAAAAATCGCCGAGATTAGTGGAGCACCAAAACACAACACACGCACCGGTAATGCCAATTAGATAAAAAAAAAACGTTGCCAAATTTACGATTAACAAGTGGTGTTTCAATAGAAATGGCGAAGACTATACACTATAGCTAGAAATTATGTCAAGAGTTGTCACATATGTGACAAGCAGCAGACTGTCGTCTAATTCACGTCAATTTTTGGTCATAACTCGTCGGCGACGTCATTCGCCCAAAAAATCACGTGAAAATGACGAGATTTTTATGACTTACTTCTGACGTCAAAAGGCCGTCCTTTCTTCGTCATTTTTTATAGATTATATGATCAATTAGATGTGGGTCGTAGTATTCTTTAAAAAGTGGCCTTCATAATGCTTGATTATATTTCGAGCAAAAAATACAACGGCTTAATTAGAAATACACCAAAGACAAGTTTTTTCATTCTAATAATTTCTAATAAAATAATTATTTCTGAAAACTTGTTTACTCTGGAAGTGTTATTTTGTAAGTACCTGCTTGGCAAATTATAAATAGAACATCTGGGGTTGAGCGAAAAGACCCAACGACTCAAACAGAGTCATAAAAATTCTTTGTCCATTGTCCCTAAAACGGGACAAGGTTTTGAAGAATTCCTTCGTCTAATTTTGATTTTATAAAGACGTTTATAAAGTGATGACGGTTACCAAAAAAATTCGAGAGTGATTAATATTGAGTTTTATTAAATTTATTCTTATCCGTATTTACTATACAATACATCAGATGTTTGGGGTGGGCATTCGGACTTTCCCTTTTTTCGGTATTTATGTTTATTGCACTTCCCAGAGAAGCATTCCAATATTTCCAGTTGGTTCTCAACCACCGAAACTTTCTTGTGTATCCGTTACTCACTTCATTTTTAACGCAGTTTTGTGCAAATTTGTCATTCAGTGTGAGTTGTACTTATTTATAGTAGGTAAGTTAATATCTAATAAAGTAATTATTTTAATTTTTACGTGTTTCTGTTATTTTTGATAACTGTACGTAGATAACAAAAGCAGTTTTTTCAGATAAGCTGGAAAGACCACCATTAATCACTGAAGATACTCCCACTGATTATGAAGAACTTACGGTGATTGTTTTTGAAAATGAGGCGCTATAAAATTTTGCAAAGGTATGTTACTGCAATTTTTTATGAACTAATGCTAATTTTATTTTAGATTTGAAACAAATACAAAACACATGTGCGAAACGAAAGAAATGCTAAAGGAAACGAGTGAAAAAATCTCCAACATGGAAACGTCATCAAATCTGACAACTGAAAAAGAAAAATTATGCCGCCAAAAACACACCTAAACAAATTTTGACGAATTACAAGATTACCTATGTTTGCATATTAGAACAAGCAGATTTCTTTGTAAGTTAAAAAAATTCAATGAATTCATATATACATATATAACATTAATATTGGATATTATATACCGGTAGATGCCTGTAATACTACGATACTTTTTGGTAACTTACTATTTACACATACACATTTCGCTTCATTGTAAAAAGTATTGACAATGAGATTTTCCTGATAGGCTGTATGTTTTTGTCAATGAAACCATTTTACGATTATCCGTTAGATTCAAGTAAATTTAGCATTTTTAAAATACAGAATTTGTCTTCTGCTTTAAGTTGTAATCCCTTAAATTTAATAATAGTCAAATGCTTGCTATTGCCCATAGATGAAAAAATGATTGCATTTCCATTAATCCATGCACTCTAACGGGTTTTTCTTTTCAGTGCAATAAATTGAGGCAAACTTAAAAAACTTAGGTTATTGATATAATTGTTAAAACAGAATTAATTCTTAACGGTACTTTTTTGTGTGTTGGGGACAGTCAAGTCGTCGTGAACTAGATAGTTTTACATATCCTGTGGTTTTACAGTGCATTTTTAATCAAGTAACTTCAACAATGCAATTCCATTGTCTTTTCCCTTTATTCTAGTTTTTTTTAAATATTTTTTGTAAATAGATTTGTTTGTGTTTTTAAGACTCATCTATAGTTTATTATAGTTTTTTTTAAATATTCTTTGTAACTAAATAGATTTCTTTGTGTTTTTAACTTAGTACTTTAGTACTCGTCGGGTCGTGTACGAGAGCGGTCGTCGCTACTGTTTATAAAGTGCGAGTGTGGTATTTTTACTTATTTATTGGTTCAAAATGGGACCTAAATTTAAAAAAGCTGTGAATGCCGAAAGTGATAACATAGCAGCTACCATCAGTCAGTGCCTGGTTGATTTTTTTGATCAGAATTTGGTAAATTGTGGCTGTGCAATTAATGTTTCCTCCATGCGTGAAGAGATTAACAACTGTAAGTCTCTTATTATTGAACAAACTGCTGTAATTCGCCTATTGCAAAATGAAGTAGATAGTTTAAAATCTGAAATTATGCAGGTTAAACGATTAGCACAAGGGGGGTCCAACTCATCGAATTTTATTGGCGATATTCGCGAAAATCGAAGGCTATCTGGTTTGCAGATAAATGCTACAAAAACCAACGAAAGTAATTATAGTGCTTCTTTATTGAATTGCTAACTGCAGAAAGGGGATATATCACATTTTTCAAAATGTTGAGGAAATGAATAAAACGTCTCAGATTTTTACAACTACTTGTTTCCGATCCCCGTTTTCAATTGTCGGTTCTCTATGTTCTCAGTTATCAACGAGTGTTGGTTAAATGCATGTTTTCTTTTTTGGGTCAATTTAGCTGTCAAATTTGACACTTGGACATATCCCCTTTTTGCAGTAAAATGAAAAAAAAGGTAAAAAAAAACACAAAAAACAGCTTTATTTCAGTTATAATTTTACACAAACATGTTATATGTATATCTGATTAAAAAACTTAGTCATTATCGCGCTCCTGTTCTACAGTTGGCCAAGTAGCAATCTCCTGCCAAAATGCGTTATAAGCGTCTGGGATAAATCGTAAAGTGTTTGTTATATCCGTCATTTTCTTCTGGCTGATGGCTAGTTTTTCGGGATACGCTTGTGTTGTAGGAAAAGCCAAATTCTTTTCTGTATTTCTCAATCTAAAAGTGTCTGTGAGTAAACCGTTTATCAGCTCTCGACAAACAACTTCGCTAGGTGAGGAAATAGTTATCTGATGAAAAGAAGCAATCGCAAATGACTTTTTCTGACTGCGTGGTACGCGCTTCCCGTAAGATTCATTACTTAGGCATGTCTTTTTGTAAAATCTTGACCACCAGCTTTTAAAATCATAAATCATATCTCTAGAAACCTCAACAATTGAAAATTTCTGAGGATTCTTTGATGCTGCAGAGATTATTTGAATGTATTCAGGTACTGTGTAGAATCTTTCAGCTCGGTTTAGCTGCCTTTTAATAAGACCAAAGTCTCGATCACAAGGCATGAAGGAATGCCCTCTTATTGGGAAAAATATTTCAACCTTTTCAAATATTTTCAGTTCTATTAGGCTCATCGCAAAGCGAATCATGGTGTTGTTTTTATTTTGACCACAACAGTTGTCAAAAATGTAAAGTTTTTTAATTTTACGTTCAGCATCTTGTTCAAAATAATGTTTAAGAAAAGAACATACATCATTTGCTCCCTTGCCGGCTTCTCCTTCGTGGTAAACATAACACGTCATTGCTTTCGATTTGAGATTATGGATTCCGAATGTGCATACTGTTAGCTGGCGATAATAATAGATATCTTGGACAGGTATTTGTGGTAACGAAACATTAGCCATGTAGTCGATGCAAATACCCAGAGTATCATCATTTTGCTCGCACATTTTTTTCACAGAATCTAAGGTTGTATAAAATTTCTTACTACGTCGTTTATGTACCAAAAGTTCAGCCACCGCCACTCCCTTAGCATTATCATTTAAGGTTTCGCTTTTTATTTTGGCATTGAGTTCTTCACAGGTACTGCAAGTGTCTTTGGCTGGTCTACCGAATCTTAAATCATAGTTTTCCTTAAAATATGACCAAAAGAATTTATATGAAATGCGGTCATTTGGAAAATTTTCTTTAAACATCTCGTACATGGTCTTTACCGATAATTTGGAATCCAGATATCGCATTTCTTTGTTTGTGTAGTGCGATATTTTGACCGGGTAAGATTCAATATGGCTACGGATGTTGGCGATTACAGTTCCTTTTATAGCATTACCACTCACATTTTTACCACGCATATCTTTTGGACTTTTATTGTTTTTCAAAAGCAACACCAGACGTTCGCAACGTTTTTTAGTCACTCCGTGGATTGACAAATATGCTTGTTTGCAGACACCTATTCTATGATTCCCGTTAAGTACAAAATATTTTACAGTCAATGATTTTGGCTTTGTGTTAACCATGCCAATTTTTCCCCGTCTCCGCGAAACAGGCTGAGTCTCTAATAGTCTTTGTAGATGCAAGTCTTGTTGATCTTTTGTGTCCATATTGCAAAACAATTGCTGCATATTAAGTTTTTCGTTATCAGTAAACTTCGTCAAACATTTTTGATGGCAACTACAAAAAAATTCGAAACTGGCAATCATAAGACTTAATTTGCTAAGCAATAACTTACCATTCATTTCCAGCAATCACTTTTGCGAATATGGTCTTTCCAGCATAGTTAACGTGTTGCAAACCATGAAGCTTTGCCTTTTTAATAATGTTTCTCTTATAACCTTCACTATTCACTACACCTTTTTTCCTCTTTTTAGGGGTTTCAACCTCACTGTCCGAACTAGAACTCATTTTCTACAGTTTACTAGTTTACAACACAACTGAGGTTAAGTTTAAGTCGGATATCCCGCGCAAGACGTTGAGACCACGGTGTTTACTGCAGAAAGTCGATATCTCCTGGACATATCCCTTTTCTGCTGTAACCGTAAATTTCATCCGCTTGTAGCCCCGAGCTAAATCATTAAACATGGCCCGTTTTTGCAGTAGAGATGTGTTTAGACCTCTAGAACACGATTATGTACGAATGTTATTGTGGTAAAAAATGGGACATGTCCCCTTTCTGCAGTTAGCAATTCATTTAAAGATACTGTTTTGTTGGATCGTTCGCCTGAATCTAACATTCCACCTAATAATTACCGTCCCTTCACCGATCTTCATAAGATTTCTATTGCAAATACACCGATTGAGACTGAGATATGTTCAGATGAGGACAAGATTACATTAGATATTGTCCCCAAAACTAAACATGTTGTTGAGGCTGATATTCATCCAAAGCCACTCTCTGCTGATGTTAGTACTGTTAAACAACATTCTAATAAAAATAAGTTTGTTATCGGTGTGAATCGTTCCGATCAAGAGCACAACTTAAAAGCAGTTCCCAAAAAAGCTTTTCTTTATGTATCCCGTTTGCGAACGGATACCACGTCTGAAAACATAGTTGATTTCTTAAAAACTGACTTCCCCGAGGTCAAATGCGAGCCTGTGCCATCGAAATATCCTGAATATTATTCTTCATTTAAAATTATTGTTGATCTTGTTAATAAAGAAAAAGTGATGGAGGCCACTAGATGGCCCCAAGGAATTTATATTTCGCGTTTTTTTCAGAAAAGAAACAAAGATGTCAACAGCAACTAACAGGTATTGTTGGTACTAACAACATGGAAAATGAAGCAAATCTTTTTTTATATTATCAAAACACCCGTGGTTTGAACTCCAAACTGTCAAGTTTTTATAATTCTATGGCCGTAGGTGAATATGACATAGTAGCTCTTACTGAAACTTGGCTCCATCCTGGAGTCTATGATAGTGAATTTTCTACCCAAAACTATACAATTATACGGAAGGACAGAGATTTTTTACATACTAATAAATGTAGAGGTGGCGGAGTGCTTATTGCTGTTCGTTCTGACCTTCACTATACTGAAATTAACTTATCTAATACACCTCTTAATAATTTTCAGTATCTTGATTTTCTATGTATTAAAATGTTAATTGCTTCCACGTCTATTATAATAGTTGTTGTCTATATTCCACCTTCATTGCCTTTAAATTGTTATCAGTTATTTTTTGAAACATTGGGTACATTAGACTTTTTATATGATTCTAAGATTTTTGTAATTGGTGATTTCAATATACCGGAATTTTCATCATCTGCCTATAATCTTCGATGTGGCAAATCTATTTCGTTGCTTAACTTTATGGAATTGTTCGATCTTAAGCAATTCAACACCACTTTAAATTGTAGTGGTCGACTCCTTGATCTTGCCTTATCTAATACATATTGTTCTGTGTCGCCATCTGATGATCCATTTGTGGATGAAGATCCCCTTCACCCCTCACTTTGTGTTAAGATACTAGTATACCAAGAATCATCAGGCCATTATCTAAAACCTGTTTCTTAAGGAACCAGTTATAATTTTCATAAAGCTAATTTTATTAATCTTTACCGCGATATTCTTAATACAGATTGGACTTTTCTTCAGACGTGCTCTAATATTGAAGATGCCTCCTCCTCTTTCTATAATGAAATCTATAAAATGTTTGATAAGCATGTACCTAAATGTAAAAAGCGGAAATATAACTATCCTGCATGGTTTACACCGGAAGTTGTTAAAGATATTCGTCTAAAAAATTACCATCGGAAAAAGTATATATTTAAAATTTAGAAACATAGCTGACTTAATTGCATTTAAGGAATTAAGGCATAATATTAAATACAAAATATCAGTTGAGTACATTAGATTTATAAAGAACTCTGAATACTCCATTAAGTCAGATCCATCACGTTTTTGGCGTTATTTAAACTGCAAAAGACGACACACAGGGATTCCATCCCAGTTGACTTTCGGTGATACGATTGTAAATGGAGCTGAAAATATTGTCAATGCATTTGCGGAATTTTATGAATCGACTTACATTGGTAGCTCCACATATAGCAATTACCTCAAGGATAAGTGTAACGTAGCAAATGTTAATATAAGTTTATCAACAATTATGGAGTGTGAAGTACTTGATGCTGTTAAAAAAATCAAAACTAACTATGTTCAGGGTCCTGATAAGATACCAGCGGTCATCGTCAAAGACTGTGCTCAGGTTTTTGTGAAACCACTTACATTTCTTTTCAATTTCTGCATTAGAGCGGGTACGTTTCCAGACTGCTGGAAAGTGTCCAAAGTGATCCCTGTTTACAAAAGCAAAAGTAGAAATGCTATTGAAAATTATCGTCCTATATCCATCATCAATAATTTTGCTAAAATTTTTGAAGCCATAATTTTCAAACAGCTTTATTCGCAAGTAGCGGCTGTTATTTCTGAGCGCCAGCATGGTTTCATGCATGGACGCTCTACAGTTACTAACCTTTTCTGCACTACACAGTTTATTTCGAACGCTATTGGTAGTGGGTTGCAGACGGATGTAATATACCTTGATTTCTCAAAGGCATTCGATAGACTTGATCATGGTATTTTGTTTCATAAATTGGACGTTTTAGGATTTGGCCCCCAGCTCATTCGCTTCTTCATGTCATACCTGTATAACAGGCAACAGTATGTTCATTGTTTTGGGTATAACTCTCGTTATATTAATGTTTCATCGGGAGTACCCCAAGCAGCCCCGTAGCTAGAAAACTTATTCAGGGGGGGCAAGTTTGTCGACAGGGGGGCTGGATATAAATATGTATATATATTTTAATAATACACTCAGATAATTACTTTATTTTTTCTCAGTTTTTACATTTGAAAGAGCATTAAAATAATTGTAAACTTCGATATTTTACACTATTAAATTTTCGTAAAAACCTGTCGAAGTCCAAAGAATTGGTACGGTACCAGGGGCGGCTCATGACTTGAAAAATTGATGAGGCACAGCACAAAACGCTCTAAAATATAAATAAATCAAGATTACTTAAATATTTTCTACATATTTAGTCAAATAAACAAATTTGTAAACTCATTTAACTGTCCACAAAGAACCAACGTGAAGGTGTAAGGAGGTCTTGCAAGGAAAGGATGAGAATGACAGGACAAAAGGAAAGGGAAGCGTGGTCAGAAAAAACTAATATAACTTCTAACAAAAAACAAAATTAAAATAAACTTTAAAGGAAACATATCGAAAAAGATCAAATACAACATAAAATAAAGCTAATTTGATTTATAACAAAAAACAAAATGAAAAAAATATAAAATATAAATACGGATTTATTTTAATTTTTTTTTATGGATCAATTAACGATTTACTCTAATCAGGAACCGGCGGTTTTAATTCCTTAACTACATACAATTTATCATCATACGTGAAAGTAGAAAAAACAGAACTGCCATTGTCATTTAACGTTAGTAGAGAAAAATTCCGATTTACTCGTAATCTTAAATAACGATTACCGAAATCAAATTATGACAAGCACAAAGCACTAACGCGACCCACGCAAACGTAGGCACTTTTAAGACAAAATTCTGTTACCGAAATTTTGAATCAATTTATACACACACAGATTTGTGGCAAAACAATCAACGGCCTAATTTTGAATACTCCTGCGAATGCAGACTGCATTGCAATCGCACGTTCCCCGCGCGCAAATATTATAGTTGTCCATCTCTTTTGTAAGCACGGAAATGAGGCTAGCCTCAATTTTGTCTTTTTTCAACTCATACCGCTTATAAGTGTATTGCAGGTTGCTTGCCTATTAACGACATGATTTCTATATATGCTGTAGAGGCAAGCTTCGAGTCGGCCTCATTCGCGTCACAAAATACATGTTGTGCCGAGTGTTTAAGCGCGCTGTTTAATTAAGGGAGCAACGAGTACCTACCGAGATAAAAATAAGAATATAATTTTCTATATTTATTTTTAAAATTTTAGAAAAAAGACACAAATTATTGGCCGAAATGTGTCCGTATAAAATAATAAAAATCCCAATAAGGCGTAAAATTCATTGGTGAGGCACTGCCTCACCTGCCTCATAGGACAAGCCGCCCCTGTACGGTACTTTTCAAAAGCCAGAAAAACCAAGCATCATTTGACGCTCCGGGCGATCTATTCTGGTTAAAACAGAGAATGTAGATTCACAAACAGCTGTACTATATCCCAAAATTGGTGCAGTGGCCAATAACACTAGGTAACAACCAATTTATTTGAGTTTATTTTTTTGTATGTTTAGTAGTAGGCTATGGAATAAAATGTGACATGTCAGTTCGTTTTTTTTTTGTATGGTCAACATCAACGTTAAGGTGATATTGCCAAATAACATACCCTATAAGAAAATAAAGGGCGCGCGTGTGGAGCTAGCAACTATGCTTCGGCAAACAGCATTATATTGAAATTTTATTACTAATTTGAAATTTATAATATTGTAAGTCTTCCAGCGGGGGCAACAACAACTGCTAGGGGGGGCTCAGCCCCATCTTGCCCCCCCCGTAGCTACGGGGCTGACCCCAAGGTTCTGTCCTGGGCCCCCTTCTTTTTTTACTCTACATAACTGATGAATTGGATATTGAATACGCTCTTTATGCAGATGACATAAAAATATATAGTAGAATCAGTACAACCAAAGACCGCATTGTGTTACAGCAAAATTTAAACAAGATTTTAATATGGTCTTCTGTAAACACACTTTTATTAAATAAAAACAAATGTTTTGTCATGTCATTTGGCTTGAAACGAGAAATGATCAGTTTTGATTACAAACTCAATGCGGTCGTATTAGCTAGACCCCAGACGGTTACAGATCTTGGAGTTGTGTTTGATTGCAAGCTTTCATTTGTTGACCATATACATAAAGTGGTCACTGATTGCACTAAAACTTTAGGCTTTATTATTAGAAATTCTAGAGATTTTAAAGATTGTAATACAATTATTCGGCTTTATAATGCCCTTCTTGAAAGCAAGTTATATTATGCATGCATAATTTGGTGTCCCCACTACAATATCCATGGAGCTCAACTCGAAGGTATTATAAGGAAATTTCTGAAATATCTGACTTATCGCAAGGATGGTGTTTATCCCCCTATTGGTTTTTCACAGTCTAGTCTTTTGAACCGTTTCAATATTTCTAGTTTTATGGACACTTGTAAAAAATTC